GCAGCTGCACCACCCGGCTGCTCTTCTGGAGAGGAGGCACTGGGAATGCTGGTCAGGCTCTCCCACAGGTCGGAGTTGCATCCCAGCTCCTGCCAAAGAGGCTCACCAGGCTGCACAGCACAACTGCTGCCCTGCCTGACTCAGCTACCACAGGTAGAGACTCTTCATCAAGCACTAAACATCAAGCTGCTGCAATAAGTGATGGGAATTAAAAAAAACCCAAAAAAGCCCATAACTTTCTCCCCAGAAAGTGCCACCTTCCTGGTTCTTGTGGTCCTATCCCAGCCCTGCTGTGAAACTGGGCACCTGGCACTGCTCCAATATCCTGCAGCTCTGAATTTGGGGGGAAGGAAACAAATGGGACTTGAGACAAGTCCAGATGTGAGGCTGAGGAGGAGGGACAGCAGCCCTGAGTACTCAGTGTGTGACATTAGAGAAAGCCTGGACACAGCATCAGAGTGCTCTCACTGTCCAAACTGCATCAAAGCCATTATGCCATTTTAAATTTAACCTGTTGTGGGCTTTGTCTTTGAATGTAAAAGCTTCTCAGAGCACAGGAAGCAATGCAAAAACCAACTCTATACAGCAGTGGCTGTGAGCTGTGCAGGGCATTGGTGGATCTCAGGAAAACACCAGTGCTGGAGATCTGCCAGAGTCTTGTAAGGCTATAATATAACCTCCATGACTAAAAAGGATCCCATATCCCCACAGGACACTTGGAAGGAAGCTCTGGCACTGTGCAAGCTGAGGAGTTGTTGCCTCTATAAATGTTACCCCTTTTGGAACCAGCTGGGAAGACTCACCTCTCAATAAGTCTGAGAGTGGAGGACCACAATCCTCTGGAATTGTGTAGTCGCCTTTCCCGATGTTTTCAAATAATTTATAGATATTATCCCCTTCAAAAGGGTACAGACCCGTTGTGATGTTGTATCTGTGAAGGCAGAAGGAGAAGCAGGATGAGAAACAGACCACAGGTACTCAGTTCTTACCTGACTCCAAAAGCAGCCAAGGGGAAACCAAAAGAGGAATATTTGGCAGTATGTGCAAAACTTCTTTAAGTTTAGCCTGCCTTCATCACAGTCTGGGACAGCAAAAACTTAAAAATAAATACTGGAGATACTTGTGGCTTCTGTTACTGCCCTGGCTGTGCCTCTGGGAGCTGAGCAACAGCTGCAGAGTCACTCATGGAGAGCAAAGATCCCCTTGTGCAGAATTACAGATACTTTGGGGAGCATCAACCCACCCAGAGGAGTGAGCAGCACCCCCCATCTCACAAGAGCAGTGATGACAGAGCTGGGCCAGGACTGAGCTATCTGAGGGTGTCATTAATTGTGAAGTTCCTGGGCACTCACAGTGTCACCCCTGCAGACCAGATGTCGACTTTAAAGCCTGAAAAGGTGTCAAGGCCATTGGCAATTTCTGGGGGCTGGAATGCTGGCGACCCTTGGCTCGTCCTGCACGTGTCGTCCTCCGCAAACGGATGCAATGCCTGAGGCAGGAGAGACCAAACAGTGTCAGCCTTCCAAGGAAAACAAACTGGGACTCCTGGAAAAGTTCCACCTGGGAAACAAAAGGGGAAAACTCCTCTACTGAACATCTACAGATGATAAGGTCATGCCACCACAGCAACCACACGCCACAGTGACAAGTCTTGCACCCCTCCTACCTAAGAGAGATTCCATATAAAAAGAAGGATAAGGTTATGCAGCTTATCCCCATTTCCCCCCCACTTTTGGGTTCATCCAAGATTGACATCTTCCTTCTCTCTGTGTTTCCTGAGCAGAGGTTTCATGCTGTTACCAAAAGAAGTGCTTTGCCAATTGCAATAAATATTCAGAGTCACTCAGAGCACTCTGCAAGTGCAACAGAACAAAAGCCTAAATGCACAATAAATCAATGACACCACAGAGGTGACCTCAATGTAGAATGTCCCATTCTGACTTTGCTGTGCTTCTCACATACCTCTGCTACTCCTAAATCAGATATTTTTAGTGTCCCATTGGTTGTTAGCAGGAGGTTCCCAGGTTTTATATCCTTGTGGACAATCCCTTGGCTGTGCAAGTATTCTAAGCCATCTATAAGCTGACAAAAGTACCTGCAGAGAGAGGGAAAGGGGAAAAATAAATCAAACACTTTTAGCCAGTAGAAAGGAGCTTTTTGCTGTGGTCAGAGACTCTGGGCCATCATCGTAACCCACAAGCAGCCTGGCAGTTGTAGAGGCAAATGTTTCATCTCATAATACCCAGAAATAACATTAATGTGCCTGAATTTCACTTAGGCTGTCTGTAATCTCAGAGATCTCTTAAACTAAAATGACAATATGACTATAAAATTATGTAGTTGCCACAGATTTGCTGCTCTGCCCTGATTTGATCCTGACAATGTTTTTGTTATCTATTCCCAGAATTCTCATGTTTCCTTCCTTTAGGAGTAAAAAGGGCTCAAGCTTATCCCAGCTAACTACTCCAGCTACCAGATCATGCTGGATATTGCCAATCCCTAATCCATCCCAAGGCCTTTAAAGTCTTTTCTGATGCTGAACTGTGGCTTGACCTCCATTTAGGCAGGAGATTCCCCCCTCACACCCCTTGGCAAGGCAAGAGCACAGGGACCAGGGGAGGCTGTTGGGCAGCTCAGGAAGTAAAATAAAAATAACAGAAAAATCAATAGAATGATGGTTTTTTCTTCCCAGAATCTAAGGGCAATCCCTGCTGGCCACTTCAAGAGCTTTTCACTTCTTTTGCATGGGTGTAAAATACGAAATTATTGCACAAAACCAGGTTTGCTTTCAAACACAGTCTGAGCAGAGTGAACTCGAGAGAACACAGTGGGGAGAGGAACAGAACTTACCCGTGAGCCTGAAACACTGGAAACCTCTTTTCTGGGACACTGTCCAGCATTTCCTGCATCCCACACACACAGTACTCCATCACCATATACGTGAGGGCAGAGTTAAGGAAGCTCCAGGGTTAACACTCAGTGTTAAACATTCCTCAGAGGGAATGGCTGCACTTCCCAAGTGTTGAGAAATTTTCCTCCAGCTCCCACAGGACAGGGAAGCACCTACAGGAAAATCCTTCTGCCAAATGAACATTTAAAGCTCCTTGACCAGACCTGGAACAGGATGGGAACTCCATGGACCAGACCTGAAACAGGATGGGAACTCCATGACCAGACCTGGAATAGGATGGGAACTCCATGGACCAGACCTGGAACAGGATGTGAACTCCACAGAAAATAAGCTGGAGATCCCACAGGCATGACAGAGAACAGGGAAATACCTTAAAATGGGCACAGAAAATTGGGAAATCCCTGGCAGAAGAGTTGCAGCCCATTCCCCCAGTGCCCTGGGTGTTGTGCAGCTCAAAGTGAGCTCCCACCACCTTCCCCAAAGTTGGTTATTCCTCACTCCCCACCCCAAACAACCCAGTTGTGTGCTCTGTGGAACAGCTGCTGCTTACCCCCAGCTCCACAGGAGTATTCCAGTAGCAGGAAAAAGGATCCTTGGAGAGTTGAGAAGCTTTGTGAAACCACATGGATAAAAAACAGTTACAACAGAACGCCAAGAGCCGCTGGCACTTTGCAGCATTTGTTCCCTTGCAGCATATTCCAGTTTTTATCTCTGTAAGCTTTAATGTTGGGGCCAAAAAAATGGGAACCAGACTGCCTGATGTTGGGATTGCCTGATTCCTCCTCTCCCTGGGCTTTTGAAGGCAAAGTTTGGCTTGGAGGGGCCTGGGAGAACAGACCCTGGGACATTGGGGAGTGTCCTGACAGAGCAGAGGCTGCCAGGGCTCCCCTGCAATCCTGAGCATGGTCAGTTATTCCTCCAGGCAGTTGCTTTCTTAACCTAAACCCAAAATAAGTTACTTTTGCCCCAAGAAGCCACCTGAGGTAGAAGAGGCAGAAGGAAGACTCCTGCCCTGGGCTGAAGACTCTGCTGCCCTCTGTTCCATCTAGCAGCTCCAAACACTGAAAACTCATTAAATTCCTGCTCCATTCCCCATGAGAGACCCTAAAACACTCTAAATATACAGAATTAACATAACAGAATTTATTTATATAAACATAACAGAATTTATGATGTGTGTGAAGATTCTCAGTAAATCAATAAAAGCAAGAATAGAAGGGAGAGCTCCCAAAATTCATTCCTACCCTGGAAGAAATCTGTGAACTGCTCCTATCAGAGTGATTTGGAATATATCAATTCTCCCACTGTCAGGAGAATAACAGTGGTGGAGGATAATCCAGAGCAGCTCCTGGGGAGCAAAGAGGCTCAAGGACAGCCCTGGCTGGGTGTCACTAACAGCCAGGCTGCTCCTCACCCCTCCCTGGTCACTGATCCCCCTCAGGTTGATCAATCAGATTACAGAACAGACTTCCAGGCTGGAGCAGATCTGTTACAGGTGCCCCAAGCTCTCAGTTCTCCTCCTCAAGGGTTTCTGCTCCCACACTCAGCTCCACACACGGGTAATGGGATCCCTGGGATGCTGCTCATGGAACTGGGTTCATTTTCTGCCTGGATGAGCTCTCCATTCACCACCGGCTCTGCACTCCCACCCACAGCAGGCCAGCAAACAGCCCTTAAATACTAAAAGTCATTGATATTTTTAATCCAGTTGCCACAGCTTTCCCTTTCTCACAAAAAAAAAATCACTGAAAGTTTTTATTAGGTGTTCAAATGCTGTTTGAACCTGAAGGGAGCCTACAAGAAAGATGGAGAGGGATTTTTTAGAAGACGACACAGTGACAGAATATGGGGAAATCGCTTCACACTGACAGAGAGGGGGGTTAGATGGGAGTTAGGAAAAAATCTTCCATGTGAGGATGGTGAGGCCCTGGCACAGGGTGCCCAGAGCAGCTGTGGCTGCCCCTGGAGTCCTGGAAATGTCCAAGGCCAGGCTGGAAGGGGCTTGGAGCAACCTGGGATAGGAGAAGGTGTCTCTGCCCATGGCAGGGGTGGAATGGGATGAGTTTTAATGTCCTTTTTAACCCAAGCCATTCTGTGACTCTATGACAAACAGCTCAAGCCTGCAGTGCACTTCCACCAGCAACAGAACACTCAGGTGGGGACAGAATCTTCCCTTCCCCAGCCCCAGTTTCCAATCCCACAGTGCTTATTCTGGAAATGAGGATTTTTCTATACACTCAGGTGGGGACAGAATCCTTCCTTCCACAGCCCCAATTTCCAATCCCACAGTGCTTTTTCTGGAAATTGGGATTTTTCTATTTAATCACCAACAGGAAAGTTGACATCTCCCCCTAAATCCCAACTCTGCCTCCTGCCAGGAACCAACACAGCCCTGAGCATGACTCAGGGCCCTGCCCCCAGGGCAGCCTCAGGGATACAGTCCCTTTTCTGCTGGATTTGTTCCCAAAATTATTCCCCATGTGGCTGCTCAAGGTCTGCTCTATCACAGCCCAGGCAGTGCCTGTCAGAAGCTGGGGAAGGGCTTGAACAAAATCATGGATGATTTCACTGATTCCAGTGAAAAATTCCCCCAGTTATTGCCAGAATCAGCACAGGGAGGAACAAACTCTGTGAGAGTGTAGAATCAGATAAAGATAAAAATGACAAAGTTAACCTGTCCTTGTGAGGGAAAAACACTGAAAACCAACTCTGGACCAGCACTGCTCAAAGTCCAGCAAGGAGCATCCTTGGAGAGATCCCATTTCCCAGTGATGGTTTTGTGTTGTCATCACCTGGTACCAACACACGATGTCTCTCTCGGGCTCCTTTTCCCCCTGCTGCCTCCTCCCTTCTACCTAATTAACCAGGATCTCTCTATCAATAATTGACTTGCAGTCCCCTCACTCTGTAGAGGCCACAGAACGAGCAGAAGCTGTCACACTCCTTTATCCTAATGATCTGGTGGCAGAGTGTTTGATCTAATTAATGCACACAATTAAATTACTCCTTTTCTGGAGTACTGTAATAAGAAGACAGTAGTTAGAAAACACTGTCAAAAATAAAAGGATCCATTTATAACATATGCTACAAGGGATCAGCAACAGGAGCTTCCACACTGGTTTCAGACAAAGTGCTCTCAAAATCCAGCAAAATGAGGATAAAATTGCCTTGATCAGAGTCGGTGTGAATTTGTGTTTGTGTGTAAAGTCTGCCAGGTGGGCAGGATGGTTATCAGCAGCAAAAGCAATTTAGCTGCAAAAATTTAAGCTTAAGAAACATCCAAAAGGGCTTTTCCAAAAGCAGAACTACAGCAGAGAACAGTGGCAGCTCAAACCTGACCAGCAGCCCTGTGTAAAAGGATATATTTTCTGTTTCTCCTCGTTGTACAACACATCCACCAGCTGGATGACGTTTTTGTGCCGTAATCTCCGCAGGAGCTGGATCTCCCTGCAGGAAGAGACAAGAAAAAAGTTACATTTCAAAAGCTTATTCCCAACTCTATTGCTTCCAAAATTTCACCCAAATTTAACTTGACTGAATGGCTCAGAGACCTGAAGTGAATTTTGTGTTTGTGGGGAATAAATAAGGTAAAACAGTGAGAAGCCACTTTCCCTTGGCTTGGGGAACAGCCCCTTGAATGTCACCTTCTGTCAGCTGCTCTGGTCTTTGGCTCCAGGGATTTTATACCTGCCCCAAACCACAGTTTAGTCTCTTTTGCATTAAACTCATCCTGCAAAATCCCACTGGGTGCCAGCTGTGGAGAAACAGGCAGAGCAGGACAGTCAGGTCAGGGTGGTTCTGTTGGTGCCTGGCAGTGCACGTCCTGCTTTTCACTTTGTTCTGCTGCTGCTCCATCCTGGGCTGTGCTGAGCTCCCAAATCCTCCTTCCCAGAATGATCTGGTGAGTGCTTTAAGCAGTGTGGTCACACTTCATCAGCTCAGCCTCTGGGAAGCAGCATTACAAGGAATTCTGAGCACAGCTTTGGAAGTGAGAGCCCCTGCCCAAAGGCAGCTCAGAGCCCCTCATGGGCACAATTAGCAGCTCCAGTAATGAGCTGGGGCCAGCACAAAGGCTGAGCAACAACCAGGAGCTGCTCCTTGGAAAGGGCTTCTCCCATGCAGGAGTGCAAGGAGAATCCTTACTGATCTTTTAAGGATGCCTGAGCAGTGTGAATTATTTCATTACCAAAATTAAGGCCAGAGACTCCTTTCTCAGCTCTGGATTTGGAAGAAGTCACCAAGAGCTGAGCAGAGATTCAGGATACCACAGCAAAACTCCCAAGTATTGTGTGGACATGGCAGACAAGTCTAATTATAGGAATGACCAAAGGGCTGAAGTGGATTAAATTAGCACAAGGAGCAGCAGCCAGTGTCAGTGTGGAGCTGAGGAGATCCTGCAGCACGAAGGGAGAGGGTTGAGAGCTCCAACCAGGGCTCCCAGAGCGGAGCAAACACACTCAAACACAACTTTAGGGCCAAAATGTTGGGAACACATTTGAAATCCTGATCCCAACAGCTCATTCCCTATAATACAGCTTGGAAGCACAAACACTAATTCCTACAAATAAATATCTCATATTTCTGTATTGATTTCCCACCCCCTTGGAGGACTCTGCGAACCAATCCCAAATGCCAGGGCAGTGCCCCCACCCCTGGGGCAGAAGCCAAGCCACCCTTTTCCCAGAGGAAAGATTACTTCTATTTTTAGCCCCTCTTTGGCTCTGGAATGCCTGAGGAGCAGGGACAGCCAGCTCAGTCACCTCCAATCCCATCTCACTCTGCAAACCCCTCGCGTAGGGGAACAGAGGTCTCACCTCCTCAGAACAGGCCTAAATTTGATTTTTTTTTTTCTTCCAAAACTACCAACAAAACCCCACTGCAAGTGTGTGAGCAGACCTTGCCAGAAACCAAGGCTGCTTCCAAGTACAACCTCCTTGGAAGGAGACAAGGGGGAAAAAAGACCTAACTCGAGCTCTGTCAGATCCATTAAGCTCATCCTGGTGGATTAAGATTTATCCCCTGCAAGGTACCTGCTCTGGTAAATAACAGGGGGTGCTGCTGCTCAGAACTGTAAATAGCAAAGCTGCCCCCTTGTTTCATGGGCCACAGCATTTTGGAACATGCCAAAGGCAGCCTGGAAAGGCAGATTCTGCTTTCCTGGACATCTTCACTGTGAGATGCAGTGTTCTTCCTTGTTCCCAGCCTAACAAGACACAGCTAAAAGATTCATTGCCTTCCTTTGGTTCACAGGGTTCTTCCCACAACATCCTGAAAGCTTAGGGAGTGCAGCACCTGATCCAGGACTGGTTGGAAGTTCCAGAAAGATTTCAGTGTCACTTTTTCTCTTTCCTAGTCCCAAGGGTTCCATCCACATCCTGCTCCTGCAGGGATGTCTGGCATTCCAAATTCTACATCCACTAGAATATGGAATTCTGGGCTTCTCCATGGAGTACAGGTGCCAGCATTTCACCTCCCAACCCAAGCAAACATCCAGCTCAGCAGAGGAAATCCTTGAGCCAAGGGGAACACATCTCTGAGGAGGAGGGATCAGCTCATTCCCACCTGAGCTCACACCTCCAGGGCTTCCAGCAAATCTGTCCCTGTGTGGAGGTTCCAGCTCTTGGGACTTGCAGACCCCAGGAACTGTCACAGCACAGCCCCATAACCCAGGAAAACCCTCAGAGGGATTCCAAGGAGCACAAATTCCAAGCAGAGCAATTGCTGAGGTGGTAAGTACAGCACAGGGCACTTGGGATCCCACAGAGCCCCAAACACTTAATTAACGTGTCAGGCTATTAGCACACAGCGTTATTAAACCTCTGCTGCTGCTGCAGCCACAGGCTGCCAGGTTTTCCTGCCTTTTTTTGGCAATTCCACTAAACTCCTTTATTTTGCAGGGATGAGATTCTGCAGTGTCTGCCTGACTGAGCCACCTCCACCTGCTCTACAGAGAAATGATTGTCCCAATAGATTTAAGGAAATTGTGTCTTTCAAGTTTAAGCCCTCAACATCCCCTCCAGGACTCAGAGAGCCCTTGAGGGCTCGTTTTCCTGGGGCAGAAGTGGAGTGTTTTGGGGTAGAGAAAAATAATTTTATTTTATATAAGTCCCAAACACATTTTAGTTGTAATTTCTGGGTCTCCAGAACAACAGGGCTGGGGCAGAGATGAGTTTGTGGCCTGGGATATCAGCAAGGAGTGACCCAAGGTTGGCATTAACATCCCATTTCCAGCCCAACATCACCAGCTCAGACCTGTGTGATCCTCCACAGCTCATTAGTGCACTCTCATTACTCCCTGTGTGTTACTGCTTGTGGAATTACCCAAGGGCCACTGTCTAGGAACCGTTTTCCAGGGATTTCCTTGGATGACAATTCCATTCCTGTGCTATCAGCACAGCTCTGAGGAAGGAACCCACCACAGTAACTCAATCACCTCTGCCCAACAGCCCAAAGCTCACGTGCAGCTTTTCCCTGTGGGGTGAGAAACACTGGAAACCACTTCAGTGATCAGATTCCAAGAGAGAAAGCAGAGCCCAACAGTGTGATCCAGTCCACAAACTGATTCCCTGCTGTCCTGTGCACAGGAGCAGTTTTTGGGCATAAACTCCCCAAAACTGCTCCAACACAGCTGCCCAAAATGAGATTCCAGTGCAGTCTGGCCATGTTGACATTAAAATACTGTGTCAGTGTCCTGTCCAGCACTACCTGGAGACCCCACAGCACTTTGTTCCTCCCACCCTGTTTGGTCACATATCTCACACTCAAAGCAGACACAGCTTTCACTCCCTCTCACAGCAGTGCTGAAGGGTTCTGATAAGCTCAGAGTGCCAAGGGACCAGGGAACCACAAAATACAACAGTTTGCCTTAAAACTCCCCACTGAAGCAGCAGATAAAGCACATGGATAGGTGGGCAGAGGGAAAAGGATGAGGGAACAGAAATAGGAACTTGAACTAAAGTTAAACCCCCGGGTACAAGGCAAGACCTAAAATCTGCCTTGGTGTTTTGGAGCAGGTGGGGCTGTGCCAGGAAATGTTCACAGAAAGTGCCTTTTAATAACTCCCCTAATGACCCATCTGATACTCACAGCCCCACTCTGGGTGTGAATAAAACTTCCACGGAGTTCACCTCAGGACACAGGAGCATTCCCATGGCTCTGAGAGCAGGGAACTCTCCTGATGTGGGCAAGCTCTTTTTACCTAATTTACATGGAAAGCTTCCCTAAGGAGGAAACCATCTCCAGGTTCCCCAGTGGCAGCTCTGGAAGTGCCCGTGGAGGGACCCAGGGCCGGGGCACTCAGCCTCCACCAGAAAAACAAGAAACATTTTATTACACATTAACCAAGTTTGCTTGATCCTGAACCTGAGCCAGGAAGGGAGAGAGACAGGGAGGTCCCAGCCTTGGGATGTGACTGCTCCACAGCCAAGAAAGGTTGGAAAGCAAAGTGAGAGAGCTCCCTGACAGCAGTGCTGGGACAGGATGTGAAATATCCCACAGCTAAACTGGGAAATCAAACTGAGGGACAGACACAGGGCTCTGCAGGTCAGAGCTCTCCCTCCCAGCCTAGATAAACCCTCCTGGGTTGTTTGGGCTGCAGAGGCTCCTGCAGGGCTGATAAGCAGCTCCTGGCAGGGCTGCTGTGAGGTCCAGGGTAGGGAGAATTCCCACAGCAGCCCCACGGATCCAGCCCCTCCTGGGGTTCACTTCCATGAGGGCTTTGTACCCTGAGTAACCAGGTGTGGCAGAGGCACAGAGAGCTGCCAACCCTTGGCCCCAATTTACAGCCACAGAAATCAGCTGGGGAGAGCCTTGAGTTAACTCCCAAGGACCTTAGGAATGAAGCCAAGGAAAAATCCCAAAACTTCCTGTGCCTATGGGGTGCTCCATACATTGGATCCTGTTTCAGCCACCTTCCACAGGGGTGGGAGGAGGAATTGCCACCACAGAGAGCTCCAGGGGACACCTGGGCAGATACAGGAATAACCCTGTGAGGAGACCAGGTGTGTTTGTAAGGTCTCACCTCACCCAGGTGCTGAGAGGATACAGAGAAATTGCTTTAAGAAACAATATTTTATCCATTAAATGACACCAAAGTGGTGTATTCCAGCCTGTCCCAGTCCTTGGGAACCTGTGCCCAGCCTCACCCAGAGCACTGGCTGCTGTTCAGAGGGAAGAGATTCCTAAATACCTGTGGATTAGGAAGCACTTCCACAGCAGATCCACGCTGTCAGCTAAAACAACACAGCAGCTCAGCTGCTGAACAAGAACCAAGCTCACCCATCCAGCTCCCAGAGCTCCTTACTCACTTTTTCACGTTGGCCTCCCCGTTGGGGATCCGGCGCAGCTTCTTCTTCTTCAGGATCTTGACGGCTCTCCTGCACAGGGTCTCTGAGTCCAGCATCTCCTTGACTTTGCCGTAGGAGCCCTCTCCCAGCAGGTCTCCCATGAGGTACTTGCCGATGAGCTTGGCCCGCTTGCGCCGGGGCTGGTAAATGACCTCGGTGGAGTCGATGCGGTGGATGAACGTGTCCATGCCCACCGACATCAGCTCGCTCTCTGCAAACATTCCCAGCTGCTGGGGCTCCTGCAGATCCATCCTGGATTAAGTTCCTTAACCTGTTTTTTTTTTTTTTTTTTTTTTCCTTAAGCGCTCAAGGCTTTAATCCTTGTTTTGTTAAGTTTCCAACACTCCCTTTTTACTCCTTCTCGGGAAAAAAATATCCAGAAGATTGTACAAACATGAATAATAATAATAAAAAATAAAACAACCAACAAAAAAAAAAAGAAGGAAAAAAAAGAAAAGAAAAACCAAACCTAAGAGCTGCTTCCAGGTCAATTGGATGCCAAAAGATCCCGGCCTGGCTCCAGAATGTCTTTGAAAAAGAACATAAATCTGTGACGGGACACACTCAGTTCGGGACTCACGTTGCTTCCAACCCGGTCCCGCTACCGGGGGCTCTTCCCAGTCAACTGGCCTTGGCTGGGCCCAGTTTGATCCTACAGAGTTAGGTCATCTCCGGGCCCGTCAGGCCACCCCGTGGAACCAGAGCAGCTCCCAGTCCCTCTCGTGACTTTCCATGCCTAGGAGCTCACGGTTCCAGCCGGGGTGGGAAGGTGTGTGCTCCCCCCGGAGCACGGGCCGCAGCGCGGGTTCAGCCGTTGGGGAGCTGGAAGCAAGTTTCCTTGAAGGAGTTTTCCCAAACAATTCTTGCGTCTTCGCTTTCGCCTATAAAAGTTTGAGGCCTTCGGTGCCTACCGAGAGCTCCCGGGGGCATCCTTCATCCACCGGGATTGCGCCCGGCACATGATGTGTCGCCACCGCCTCTGCTCCGGGTGTCAGCGGTGCAGGACAACACAACCCCCGTGGATCCCGGGAGGGGTCAGGGAGACCCCCCGTGCTCCAACACCCGGCTCCTCCCGGGGGAT